TTGGGTGATGGGTTCTCAATAAAGTTGAAATTAATTTCAGATTTGAATAGTTTGGGAGGGAATTGAATTTGAAAATTGAATTCAAATTCAAATAAGGCTTAAGGCTTCAATAGGAAAAACTATGGGCAGCCCAATGATGGGGGCCGACAGCATGAGGAGAGGGAGGAGGGAATTGGGGAGGGTTTTAAAAGCTTTCAAACAAGTCTTTGCAAATTAGGAAGGAGAATAATAAATCCAATCTAATTTAAATTGGATTTAGATTTAAAAACTTTCCATATTTAGAATTTGCAAATATGGAAAGTTTTGAAATTCAAATTTGAATTTCAAATAATCCCCGAGCCTTCCTTTCTTGCTTGAGCTAATTTAGGAATACATTAAGATGATTGGAACCACCGTTATGATGGGGAGCATGGAGGTGGACCGTCAGCAGGGGGAGTGCCGGCTGGTTTGGGAGGAAAAACAAGGAAAAAGAAAATAAGCCACGAGCCACACACTCTTCCAATAACTAGTGGGTATTACGCTTGCCCTCACCACGGGCCCTCTTCTCTCTAGTGCACACACAAGATGAAGAAGACAATCATCTAATTTTCATTCAATCATTCATTAACCTTTTACAAAGCACAAGGCCGCTATATATAGATCTCAAACACAAAGAAAAGAAAAAAAAGGACTCAAATGCCCTCAGGGATACAATACGAACTCACTACCCATAGGGGTAAACTAGGCAAACTGAAATGCAGGAAAATAAATAAAACATAAAATATATCAAAAATAAAGACTTTGAATCGTAGCCGTCGATCTACGATTCCGTTGCTGGTACACATGTCGGAATCTCTGAGCAACATCCTCATCATTCTTAAATCACCCAAAACAAAGTTGATAAAAAGCCATTTGTGTCCATTAATAAAAAAAATGATATGCCACCAAAAAAGTAACCACTCACATATGTGCATCCATGATTAGTTCTTCATAAAACGGGCAATACCTAGCGCACAAGATCCATCACTGTGGAACCCAAGAATGGTTTATTACATGCAACGTTATGTTAAATCCGAATTCATAACTTTCAGATCACAGGGCAACCTAACATGGAAGAACTTCATGGTTGGTACCTTATGTTACACCAAACCAATTAGACCAAAATATACATCCACTTGCATCAATACATGCAAGCAGGTTTCTCATGAGTTATTAACCGATTAAAACTTAACAAATATGCCATCCAGCAATTCAATGTTGTGGGTGTATTTTAGAAAATTTAAGAACTATAAAGTAGTAATCAAATTAATCACCTTGCAGTTTCTGATGCTACATGCCAACTGTCCAAGTATTTTGGGATTCCATCACTACTTGGCCTTTGCTGAAAAGAAACCAATCTGTCAGCCATCGTAAGACTGAAAAAAAAAAAAATTCTCTGAAAGGTAGCTCCTAAGAAGCTTATAGTCTTTAAAAAAAGGCGATATTCAGATGTTCATCAGCATTCCTATAGCAGATTTGATTCGCTGAGAAGAGTATTATCCTAACTCCTATCAATAACTTGAAACTAGTGTTTGAAATCCAAACGTTTAACATACCAAAACAAGAAACGCAGAATAACTGATGTGAAACATATATGGAAATAGAATTTGCTTAGGAATTAATAACAAAATTGTGAAGCTTTGATAATTGTAAACTCAATGTTTCACCAAGATTTAGGATTTCTTAGCTGCAATTATGATTTGGTAGTCAGTTACATAAAAGATTAACATAACAATTTAAAATAAGAGCAAAATTCAAAATAACTCTTACTTGTATGCGAGCTCGAATAACCTGCATTGTAATAACTAAGAATCAATGACAAGAACATGAATTATCATGCATTTTTCATAACATTAAAAAAAATCACAGAAGGACAATAGATACTTAAAATCATCTAAAAAACTTTTGCCATAACAAGATGTTAATCTTAAAAATAAGAAGAGAAAATGCCTGTGATGGGTAAGTAAGCAGAATAGCAGCAAGTTTCGAAGCGCCCCCAAGCATAGCATAATCAAAAGAGTTCTGCAAAAAAAAGGAAGTGTTTTTAGAATAAAAAAATAGTAGCTAATGGAAACATGAATATAGGCCCTTTTCTCCTTTCTGTTCTAGGAACGCAGCAGTAAACCTCTACAGTCTAAAAATGCTTAGTGAAACTTACATAGAATCCAATGAGAAGCCAACAAAATATATTTTATTAAGTTATAACAAGAAAATTCCGTTTAAATACTAAGGTCAGTCATTTCCTAAGTTTCTTATGCCAATTACCCTTCAGAATAGTAATGCAGAAATCTAGCAACAGAAGATGAGAATGTAAGAACTGTGTCACGGTACCAGTAACCTATCACCATCTTTCACGTCTGTCTTTTCTCTTCTTGATTTTAAATTGATGGCGATCTTCCGAAGTTCTTCATAAGCACAAAACTGAATAGCAGCATGAGAAACCTAGTAAAAAAGTATAGATATGTATCAGTGACAGTCATAAGCACAAAACTGAATAGCAGCATGAGAAACCTAGTAAAAAAGTATAGATATGTATCAGCGACAGTAAAAAACAAACTTCATTACGTATATATAACTGAAAAGTGAAAACTAGTAGAAAATACAGGCTAGCAAGCTTTTTTTTTTCTGCAGCTACTCTCTTAAAGGACCAGAATAGAATAAGTTCACGATTATGTTCAAACCTAATACAAGTTTATTGTCAAGGGCATGTTGGACTCCATTGAATACCTTAACACAAATGTCTTCATTCAGGACTCCAAGAATTCAAGAGCTTCAGCTCTAACATCAATTGATGCGAGCAAAGCACCAAAAAGGAGATTGTGTTGGATCCATTTCTTGATATTTTGAGTGTTGCAAAGAGAAGAATGTGATGAAAGAGAGAAAGAAAGGAGAGAGAAAAGAACTGCAAAAAGAAGATTAAACAAACAAATTTCTCAAAGGGAGGCATAAGATAGAGAGGAAGAAAATATAAAATAACCCTAAAAGCGAGAATCAGTGTGCAGAGGGATGCCAAAAGAAAGCATTTTTTATTCCATCATAAGCCAACTGAATCACATGATTTTGGGTGGCACTTATAAAAAATGTCTTTAAAAATTAGCTTTAAGCAAATATAAAAAATGTCAAAATAGTGATAAATGATGAATGGAATTGTAGCCACTAATAACTATTGTAATGATTAAATATGATATTAAATAAAATGAAACACAAATTCATCAATAAGAAATAAGGTATACTTGCACTACATCACATAATAGAAAGTTAACAATGTATAAGTTTTTCAAATGTACTAGCACTAAAAAGGTGAATAGATCTTTCTCCTTATTGAAGGCAATTTGCATTGTTGCCAAGTTTCGAATCAATCTACACAGGCTATGCGCTAAAGCATTTCCTTCACTCATACCAAAAAAAAAAAAAATAATGTGCAAAATCATTTATCCATATTTCAATTAAACTAGAAACTATACAAAGAATGTCCGGAGTCTCGGATTTTTGGGGAACTAGCCCATTTGCATATAATCATGGATGTCAAAATAATTTGTGTTTGCAACTCTACATTTAAGAGCTTTCTCCAAAAAAATTTCCATCGATTTCCTTCAAATAAACATGACCAATGACCAATTGAATATTGTTGCGGTCTTCTCTAACCAAGCTTTTTCGTCCGCAATCAGAACCCATTACAACATGTGAAAATATGTCACAGCAGATGACTTACGGGGAGATGATGTCCATGTCCAAGGCATCACATGATAAAACTAAGTAGACACATATTAAGCTGCATGCTCCTTGACCATGTCCGTTAGATGTTCTTTCAACACAACAAGGCTATAAATGACATACAAAGTGAACTCAGGCTATCTCAGTGTGAAAACTATTTGTAACTGGGAAAATATAAGTCATATTTGAGATCTAAAAATTAACAAATGGATGTCCCGTGTATCCAAATTGTTCAAAAATGGTCATCATGCACCTGGCTCTTCAATGCTAGAAGACAGAGGCAATCATGGATTTATGATATGAGCACAATACTATTTATAAGATTCACAAATAATGCCACAGAAATGATGATATTATCTTTTTATTGTGATGTAGGCAAACAACAACAACATCAAGCCTTTATCCCACTACGTGGGGTCGGCAACATAATCCTTTTTCTCCATTGTGTCCTATTAAAAGTCAAATTCCTGTTTAAATCTAATAAAGAAAGGTCATTCCTAATATTTTCTAACAAAGTCTTTTTAGGTCTACCCCTACCTTTCTTAACATAAGTCAAATCTAATACCTCTACTATCCTAACCGGGTCATCGGAAGGCCGCCGTTTTATGTGACCAAACCATCTAAAACGACTCTCTCTAATCTTTTCTTCTACTGGAGCTACTCCAACCTTTTCACGTATATGCTCAATTCGTATCCTATCTCTAAGGATAAAGCCACTCATCCACCTGAGCATCCTCATCTCTGCCACACTTAACTTAGTATTATGCTTCTCTTTTAATGGCCAACATTCGGCACCATAAAGCATTGCAGGCCTCATTACCATATTATAGAATTTTCCCTTAAGTTTGAGGAGTACATTTCTATCACATAACAAGCCCGATGCATTCCTCCACTTCAATCATCCAACTTGAATTCTGCTAATAATATCCCCTTCTATTTCACCATCACTCTGAACAATAAATCCAAGATATCTAAAACGTGTACTCTTATTAATGACTTGATCGCCCAAAGTCACAATCCCCTCACTAGGTCTTTAGACTCTGATGAATATTTTGAATTATAAATTTGGTGAGCTTCTAGGTCCTCTATTAGAATCAGCTCATTAATGTCTAGTAGAGAGTCTTTTTAGCTCATAAATTAAGGTTCATTCCCCCCATTTGCTGCCCCTTTGGTTCCCCCACATAGCTCTCCTTTCCATGGCTGATTCCTCCCCCTTTTATTGCTAGTTCTGGTCCCCTTTGTGCCCCTTTCGGTTCCCTGCATGGCTGTTGGTCCGGTTCCTGTGCAGCCCGTTCGATTTCCTCCATGGTTGTTGTTTCCCGTGGTTGTTCCCTGCTCCTTCCCATGGCTGTTTTACCCGAATCCTGTGCTGCCTTTTCGGGTGCTGGTTATGGAATAATTGCTGGCTGTTTGGGAGCTGTTTCTGGACTATTTTTGGACTGTTTCTGGACTGATTGCTGGTTGGTTGTTTTGAGTGGCTGAAGTTGTCCTTTGGGCTCTCTCTTGGTGGTTGTTTGGTTCCCCTTTCTTTACCTATATATAGGAGATATTTATGGCTATTTTAGAAGTTGTTATAATGTGATTTTTGGACATGAAAACCTGTGGGTTTTGATTGATAGCTTGCGAGCTATGTATTCCCTTCTCCTTCTTCTAGGATAACTTCCGAGTTATGCCTTCTTCGTCTCAGGTTCTAATCTACTTCTTCTATCCGCAAGTCGGGGGGGGGTTCAAAATATTTTGAATTATAAATTTGGTAAGCTTCTAGGTCCTCTATTAGAATCAGCTCATTAATGTCTAGTTGAGAGCCTTTTTAGCTCATAAATTAAGGTTCATTTCCCCCATTTGCTGCCTCTTTGGTTCCCCCACCTAGCTCTCCTTTCCATGGCCGATTACTCCCCCTTTTATTGCTGGTTCTGGTCCCCTTTGTGCCCCTTTCGGTTCCCTGCATGGTTGCTGGTCCGGTTCCCGTGCAGCCCCTTCGGTTTCTTCCCTGGTTGTTGTTTCCCGTGGCTATTCCCTGCTCCTTCCCGTGGTTGTTTTACCCAGTTCCTGTGCTGCCTTTTCGGGTGCTGTTATGGAATAATTACTGGCTGTTTGGACTATTTTTTTACTGTTTATGGACTGATTGCTGGTTGGCTGTTTTGGGTGGCAGAAGTTGTCCTTTGGTCTCTCTCTTGGTGGTTGTTTGGTTCCCCTTTCTTTACCTATATATAGGAGATATTTATGGCTATTTTAGAAGTTGTTATGATGTGATTTTTGGACATGAAAACTTGTGGGTTTTGATTGATAGCTTGCAAGCTATGTATCCCCTTCTCCTTCTTCTAAGATAACTTGCGAGTTATGCCTTCTTCGTCTCAGCTTCTAATCAACTTCTTCTATCCGCAAGTCTGATGCCACCTGTATCATTCTTCTCAACAGATGAAATGCAACTTTAGGTGTGTGTGTTTGTGTGCAAGTTTGTAAGAGTATTTTATTATAAAAAGTTGTATTTTGTGTTCTTTGGTGTCATTTCTATTTCCTATGAAGGTTTTGTTTAAAATTTGGGGCTTTTCCAAATTTTTTCATGCATCATATTGTCATCTTACATGAGAAGAAGATAGAAGGTCAGATTGATTTGCATAAAATTTTAGTACAAAAAGAAAATGATTAACTAAAATTCTTTTGTAGTTATTCCAAAGGTATCAAGAGTTCTGATTAAAAACAAGAAATTGGATAGCTACTTCCCATGCAAAAAAGTTCACTTTAAACAGCATAGCAAATTACAAACAAAAGACAAGTTTCAAAAACAAATAATCCAAAACCAGGTTAATAACATACAAGAAAAAGTCCAGATCCAATTCCCTTATAGAATGCTCTCCATCCTTCCTCTTTGAAAATGGTTCTTACTGCATCTGATCTAAGATAACATGTAAGCAAACTATTTAAGCAGTTCATCAATTAAAGCCATGGCAGAAAACTGCAATCTATTAAAGTTGGAATAAACAAACAATCCCAATGAAACATTAAAAAAAAAAAGCAACACTTCAACAAGTACAAGAAAATAAAAAAAATAACATCACACCATACAAAAAGCCAAAAATCAAAACCATTAAAAAAAAAAAAAGATGAACCGTTTTCCATTAGGTGGACAATAATTGGTGTAGATGATGCGCAATAAATGAATGATGCAGCTCAGACACAACATTCGAACCTAAGTGAGAGCACTGCATCCAGATTGAGGATCATTATAATCATCACTACAAATCTTAAAGCCAAGAAGATTGAAGCAAGAATAGTTGGGCCCTCCAACTTAGAATTTAAGCATGTGCATCAATTTAAGAACACTCGACTTACCATAGTAACATGACCAGCCCATACACAATTTAAGCAAGGCCAAAGAAAATGAGAGTCTTGGATAAATTTCTGCTTATTGAAGGCCTAAATATTTTCATGCATAGGACCGAAATCTAAATTAGGAAAGATAACCACATTGGCAGGATGTAGAACCAACTAGAAGCATTGACGGGATGCCAAACAAGGCAGGAGGCATTGGTGAAATACTTAGCTGCGAGATACTCTCATAGATTGCTAACATAGCACTCCACCATCTTAGATTAGCTCCTCTATGACTAACAATTTTGTGTTAATTTAATAAGAAAAATGTATTTTATTTTTTGTAATTTTTGCATTTATTTATTCATGCTTTTATTCATAGTAAAACCCCTTTGAGTAGGTGTGGGCTCCTTAAGAAAGAAAAAGGGGAAGAAGAGAGATTAGAATAAAAGAACAGAAATCTTATTTCCTGAATTCCATTATAGCATTTGGGGTCTATTTATAGAGATTTACATAAATCAATTTTAGGTTTAATAGAGGTTCAGACCAGCTGGTTTAATACAATTAAAATAAAAGAACTAAAAATGGATTTGAGACAAATTTAATGCTGAAATAAATAGAATCACGAGTTGTTGTAATCGACCGGTTGTTGTAGTGCTCCCAGTCTTTGAAGGATTTGCTTACTTCTTCATTTATGAAAAATAATTCTTGAAAAATAATTCTTGAAAAATAAATCTCAAATATTGTGGTAAAAATAACGAAGTATTTCAAAATTATTTTCTCTATTTATATGGTATCATAGATGGGTTCTTTCTATGATCTTAAAGCCTCATTGGCATAAATCATGAGTTGATGTGATGAATAATCTATTTCACTGATGTAGAACGAGGTGGAAGGCAATAATATGAAGCAATTCCTTTCAGGAAATCTGAAACAGTTCATATTTTTTTTTCTCAAAATCTGAGAGAAATTTCAGCAATCAAGAAGCAGAGGAAGGGCACCGTTCCCAATCTTGAGAGAAGTTCAGATTTCCCTCTTGAAACAAATATAGAGTTTAGGAGAGAGGATGTGGGATTTAGAACTCAAGTGAGTGGTTGCTTGTGATGAGAGAAGGTGGGGAAAGAAGCAACCAAGAAGAGACTTTGAAGGTCTCGGCCAGCAGCAGGTTGACCCAAATCCCTCCAATGAGAATGCTAAAAGGTGGACTTTTTTTTTTTTTGGAGAAATTCAGTGAAGAGGGGCGGCGGAATGTAGAGAAAAATTGGGAAGTATTTCCTTATTCCACTTCTCAGTTTTGGAGATAATTAAAGGTTTGAACTTTGGAATTTTACTGGGCCGGAATTAAGGAGGTGGGGCTTGGGATTTTCGGTCAAACAAATATGGAGGAAAATTGAAGGAATTCAAATCACTGAATCCGTGACTTGAATTAGGAAAATAATAGGAAATAAAGTCCAGTAAACCAGTGAATTGATTTGGGAGCAAGAATAGGCAATAAGGTTTAGGAAATTTAAATCATGTCCTAAAACAAGGTAAGGGAGCCGGCGGCATTAAGGGACAATGGGACATGGGAGGGATTTAATGAAAGCATTTAAGGCTTCTTAATTGGGTTTTAGGAATTAGGAAAGTAAATAACCCACTCCAATTTAAATTTGAAATTCAAATAGAAGTCATTTAAAAATTTTCAAAAATGGAATGACAAATTAGGAAAGATTTCAAATTTCAAATTAGTTGGATTTGAATTTTGAAAACCGCCCAAAATTAAATCACCCAAATTAAATTTGAATTACATCATAAATGAGATTCAATACTTTCCAAAAATAGCTTTCTAATTTAGGAAACTAATTGAAATTCAAAATTTGAATTTCAAAGGATGAAAATAATTTCCTAAATTATTTGAACTATTTAGGTAAGCTTTAAGATGACATTAACTCCTCATTCATGGAGACAAACCAGGGTGACCGGCGGTGGAGGAGCTAATGGGGAAAAGGGAGGGGCTAGAATCCGGCTACCAAACGAAGATGGGGAGGAGGAAGACGATTGAACAAAAACAATTAAAGAAGAGATAAAAACGAAAGAGAGAAAATAAAAACCGCGAGCCTTGGACTCTTCCGAAGACTGACGGGTGATACGTTGCCCTTCTCCAAGGGACTTCAGATCACGAGCCCGGACCCATCCTGCGGCTGGTGAAAACTCCGATTCCTCTCATAGAAATCTCACTAACATTCTCTCCCAAGAACACAAGTGTTGAACACAAAATTTTCATATCAATAATACATCCCTACAATAGCTTAAGGTCATATATATAGGCCACAACATAAGAAAACTCCAAAATACAAAATTGCCCCTTGGGCCACAACACTCACATTAACTAACCTAGGGGTAAAACAGGAAATACATTAAATAAGAACTAAAATTCAGAAAAAACTCATAAATGAAGATTTAAATAATAGCCGTCGATTTACGACGCCTCCTGTGATAGATGCGTCAAATCTTCGTACCGATGTCCGCATCATTCACCTCTCCATTCGGGGGTACATTGGAATTTATTGCTTATTCTCTCAAGAAAACTCTTGAATTCCTAGGATGCATTGAGCAAAATTATTTCCCATGTGACTTTAGAACCAGCATGGTCGAATCTCTTTATCAAAACCATAATTTCTACTAACACAATTTGAAATTCCCAAAGAGACCTCAACTTTACCAAGAAATAGTACTCAAGTGATTTACTTTTCCTATCTATTTCATTCTACTCAAAGGCCTCACAAAGAGATATAACGAGAAAGAGAAGAAAGAAAAGCATATAGAATCCTCTAACCTTGCTAGACTTAACTTCCATTTTCAAAAGAGTTGATGCTAATATTTGAGGGCTCTGAAATACTTTGAACAACTGTATCATTAAGCACTCGATAATTCATCATGCTTTCTTAATTGGCATAAAAGCATATTGTTAAGCTTATTGATCTACAGCAAGTAGGGGAAATTATCTTTTGAGTAGGTGTGGACTCCTTAACGAAGAAGAACAGGAAGGAGAGAGATTAGAAAATGGAGAAAACATAAATCTTATTTCATGAATTCAATTGTAGCATTTATAGTCAATTTATAGAGATTTACATGGACCGATTTTGGGTTTAATACAGGTTCAGGCCAACTGGTTTAATGCAAGTAAAATAAAAGAACTAAAAATGGGTTTGAGATTTATTTAATGATGAAATAAATTGAACCATGAGTTTTTGTAGCAGTCTAGTTGTTATAGTGTTCCCAATTTTTGAAGTATTTTCTTCCTTCTTATTTTATGATAGACTTTAAATATTTTATTATCTTGATGATGATTTTCTGAATTGTTCACCATTCTTGACATTGTTATTGTACTATCTTTCAATCCAAAAGAATATATTGTTTCTTAACACTTCTATCGCCATGATAAACAAGCTTATTCTCAAGGTTGAAAGATGAAAAAGAAGCAAAAAGTGCTTTCATGCGTAACTATTGATACTAAGTAGTCGCAGGACCTTCAAGATGAAAGGAAGTTATTCTAACACAATTATAATCAGGAGTGTTGAGAAAATCGAAGTATTATTGTCCTTTAAAGGTCAATATTTTGACATCGAATTCATTAAAGCGAGGAAGTTCAAATTTCATATATTTAAGAAAAGAGAAACTTGTAGGAGATGGTGAAGGTAGTGGAGATAGGATTTGATCGGCAGGACCAAGGATGAAGGCGGAAGAGAAAGGATCTTGATGGAGTGAAGGAGGTGGGTGATCAAATGCACAAACTATCAAGTTTCTTGTCAATAGAATGCATGAAAGCATGGAATTGTTGAAGTGATGACCAAATGGAGAGAAATTAAACATTTGCTTGTTGTAGAGATATTTGGATTTCAGATAATTGTAATTCTTGATTGGTTTGAACTGTTTGGAGAGCTTCTGTCAAATATGCTTTTTTTCAGGTTGAGAGGTATTTGGTGGCTGCTGAAAGGGAATAAAAGATGCGGTTTTTGATAAGAAGAACCGTGACCTGATAGAATCTTAAAAGAAGAAAGAGTAAATTGCAAGTATTGGACTGTTTTTGGAAGGGAAATCAAGATCTTGATGCTGCAGATTTCTGAAGTTGAGGCTGATGCAATTTGTGAAGTTGTCCTTGATGCTGATTTCTGAACCTGTTATTGATGTTGGAACCATTCTTGATGCTGCCTTGACTGTTTTTTGCTGCTGAAAATAGAACTGATGGGCAGCAGATTTCTGGAGGTGAACGGAGAACTTAACTGGTGCAGATTCCTTGCTGTTGTTCTTGAATGCAGCAGATCAGCAGGCTGAAATGAAGGCTGGGCCAGTGGAGACTGCTGGCCCGCAGGATTAGGAGGTGGACAATCGAGTTTCACTGGAGGAGAAGAGGTCTGGTGGCTGAAGGAGGGCTGGCTGTGGTGGAGAGTGCTGGCCAGTAAGGTGTGAGGTGGAAAGGTATGTTATTGGGGAGAAGAAGAGGGTTGGCGGCTTAATAGAAGTGTTTACTGCAGTGGAGACTGCTGGCCGGCAAGAGGAGGGAGAATTAGAATTTTTAGTGCAATGAGAGCATCATTTGTCAAGCTACTTGATCTACAGCAAGAAGGGGACGATACCTTTTGAGTAGGTGTGGGCTCCTAGGAAGGAAAAAGGGGAAGAAGAGAGATTAGAAAAGAAATAAAACAGAAATCTTATTACTTAAATTAAATTACAACATTGGGGGTCTATTTATTAGGGGTGTCAATTCGGGTCAACGGGTCGGGTTCGGGTCAAACCCGGAACTGACCCGACACTGTTCGGGTCAACCCGAACCCAACCCGTTTTTAAAAACGGGTCAGGTTTCCGGACCCGAACCAGACCCGATTCGGGTCCGGGTCAACCCGACCCGACACGAATGACACTGAATTGACCCAAAATTGCTAGTTTTCGGATAAAAAATCGGGTCAATCTTTATTTTTCGGGTCAAAATCGGATCAAAATCGGGTTAAAAACGGGTCAAACTCAGATTTTCGAGTCAAATATGAGTTTTCGTGTCACTTTCGGGTCAATTTCGTGTTTCCGTGTCAACCCGAACCAGACCCGTTTCAGGTTTGGGTAGACCCGAACCCGGATTTTTTCGTGTCGGGTTCGGGTCGTGTTTCGTGTCGTGTCAAAAATTGACACCCCTACTATTTATAGAGGTTTACATAAATCGGTTTTAGGTTTAATAGAGGTTCAGACCAGCTTGTTTAATACAATTAAAATAAAAAATAAAAAAATACTAAAAATGGGTTTGAGACCGTTTAATACTGAAATAAATAGAACCACCAGTTGTTGTGGCCGACCGGTTGTTGTAGTGCTCCCAATCTTTAAAGGATTTGCTTCCTTCTTCATTCATGATAAACTTTCAATATTTTATTATCTTGATGTTGATTTTCTCCATTCTTGACATTGTTGTACTATCTTTGAATCCAAAAAGATATATTGTCGCTTAAAACATATCCAGCAGGCAATAATTCTTGAAAAATAAATCTCAAATAATCTATCGGGAACAAATACTAAGAATAAACATGAAAAAAACATACCAGAAGAACCAATATAAGGACGGTTTTGATTGAAAGGAGTTTGAAGTTGCAATCTTGTCTTCACAAGCCAAATAGGATTTGTAAGCACGCATGCCTGTCATGTTCATAATATTAGAATAGTGCAATATTGTTGCACCTAAATCATTTTCCTTCCAGGCTTTCCGTAGGCTCTCTCCATTTCAGTTCAGTAACAAAATTTACAAATATAATATGATGGCACATACTCATCTTTTTGGTCATGCTTCATATTCTGTTAAGTTCGGAAAATTTAGGAAAAAGAAGCCCGTTAATATGCCAACTTTGCTATTATAATAAAGAACAACTCTATGATGCTAAGATGGAGGATAATTAGATGGAAATGAGCCCACCAAACTCAAAAAGCAAAATAATGTGCAAGAAGAGGGATAAATAAAGGTCTACTAGGTTGCTAAAGAAAGTGAAAAAATAATAGCTAGAAAAAAGAGGGCCTTAGCAGGAAGCAATAATAACAAATAAAAATTGGCATTAAGTTTAAAAACTTTAAAACCATCACGTTACTGAACCCCTGCAACAATTCTATGTACTCTGAAATTAGAAAAAAGAAAATAAAATTCATAAATACATACCGACCCTTGCAAAACTCCAATTAAGCCTCAGGTTTGAATAAGAAAACATTGCTAGCTACTCGAAAGTCGAAACCTTGAGCTATCAAGTTAACGTCTCCCTCCCTTTCTGATGTGGAACGAGTAGGACGGCTTTGCTTGGCTTTGCTTGCGAGCGGATCTCCTCTCCAAAAATCTGAAAAAAGACACTTCAGGAAATCTGAAATTTTCTTCAGGTTTCTTATTCAAAACCTGAGAGGAAAACGGCCAAGGGTTGTGAGCTGGAATTCTCTGGCTGCAGCGGGATCCAAGGGAGGCTGAGGGAAAAATTAACTCCTTGAATCCGTGAATTGAATAAGGGAAGCAATGAAAGCAATTAAGAGGAGTAACAGGCGGGTTGTAGAGAGAGGGAGAGAATTTTATCTGAGGGATTTTCTATTCCTAAATCAATGAGTTGATTTGGGGAATTAGATTAGGAAATAAGAATTAGGAGAATTATTGCTGGCGGGATTGAGGAGCTGAGGTGGAATAAGTAGAGAGGAAGAGGAGGGGAGGCGGGATGGAATTTTGGGGAATCTGAGAGATTCTCAGGTTATGAAGGAAATAGACTTGAAAGGATTTCCACGTGGAATTATAAGGGGCCAAGCCGTATGGCTGATTGGAGGAAAAGAAATTTATTTCCTAAACCTGAAATCAGATTTTATGAAAGAAATTAAGGGGTGGGGCTTGAGGAAAATTCGGCCAAGCAAGAGGAGTTAATGAGGTGATTTAATGTTCCCAAATTTGAATTTAAAATTCGAATAGAATTTAGAATTCAAATGAATTTAAATTAAGAAGGACTTAATGGAATTTGCTTAATGTTAGGGAATTAAGGAAAGAACCAATTAAACCCCTTTTGAATTTGAAATTCAAATCGGATTGAAAATGGAAACTTTCCAAAAATAGCTTTCATAAATTAGGAAAGATTTCGAATTTCAAAATACATGATTTTGAATTTGAAATCAGCCCAAAATATGAACACCCAAATTAGGCAAGGATTTCAATGGGGAGAAGGAGGTGGAAGGTGAGATTCACGGGTGGATGGGGGAGGTGGCCGGCGAGTGTCATTAACCATTCATCATCTCATTACATAAGAAAGGGCCTCTATATATAGGCCTAAGAAACTAAAACAAGACACATATGCCCCTAAGGCTTACATAGGACGACCCTCTTAAGTGAGGGTAAAAACGAAAAATTCATAATAATAATTTAAAAATTACAAATAAAATATAAGATAACGTGGGACGATGACAGCCGTTGATCTTCAGCTCCTTGGATAGCCATGGACGGTTGGATGTCCGCATCATTTTCTTCCTATTTTTCATATGAACCTACATAACTTATAAGTTTACACAACAAACTCTAAACACCTAAACGTAGGTAGCAGCTGCATCAAAAGATCCTAGCAATTAAATGTCATGTAATATTCACCTAAATGGTGGGGACTGTTGTATGCAAAAATGTTAATGGTAGAGACGACCTTGCTTTCACTCGCAGTAATAATTATGCTTATGGGACAAAATCAAGGTGCTTTCCTTGGAAATTTTTGTGTTTTATTGCTCATGATCCTTTGTGCTCTCAAACCATGTTTGAAAAAAGCAAAAAATGCTTGAAATAAAACCCTTAACATTCAACAGATGCAAAGCTTAAGCTTCAATGATTATAATTTTTGCTTAACTAAGAAATACAACAATAGATTCAAGAAAATAAAAATAAAATAAAATATATTAGCATATATCCATTTACTTTACATATTTAGAGAGACAACTGATGGTGTAAACATAGATTGAGTACTAGCTATAAGAGCTACGCTTATGTCCTTGAAAAGTATCATAAGCATTAGATACTTTGTTCAAAAGAAATGTTATGGAAGCTGGAAGAAGTTGCAAAACTGCAAATTTTCTCCACTGGTAATAGGTAAGTGCCGGCATCACCAAAAATCCACAAAGAACTTCTTCTACAAGCCCAGAACATATTGATAGCTTTAGATGGCTACACGCTAAATGGAAATGGGAAAAACAAGTGAAGCAAAAAATGTGCCTCAGGAGTGAAGATCCAAGGATTAAATAGACTTGCTAGAAAACAAAATAGGCATTAGACCTCAAGAGACCTTAATAAGTACAAAGTAGTGTGTATAAAAAAATAGTGGGGGAGTAAAATAGAACGGAATAGGCCCAAAAAAATAAAATGTAACTCACAAAGGTTGTTTAACTAAATCTCTATCGGATCAAAAAGAGGTCCGTTGCCTTTATCTATAAAATAGTGCTTTCAAGAGCAGACAATGTAGCATAAAAAAATACTATCCAAATATTTCTCCCTCATGGAGAACTTTATATACCTGATTTGAGGTTTATCATGAGCACAATACCCGTGGTTAAACAGTTATAGAAGAAAAAGCTCAATTGAGAATATCAAGCTGCTCTAGTTTGATTTAATTTTTGTAAGTGACATTAGTTATTTTGATTTGAACGTTCATTCAAATGATAAGAAGAGATGGAGGAAGGAGGGCATGGAAAACTCAATAACAAACTCATAATTTTATTGCAAGCTCTGCCACCAAACCAATTCTAAATAGTCAGGATGTGTACTATGTACAATTATTTGGTTTTTTATCAAGGGAGCCTAGCTAACAAAGAATCAAGGGTGTGGCCCAAGAAACCGAAGGTAAAAACCTATCAAAGAGGGTTTTGTTTTGGTAGACCTTAGCTAACAAAAAGCTTTCTACTTATTCAGATGGGCCTACCCAGCCCTTACTAGCCTAGAGACTAGCAGCATGGCTGACCAAGTTAAATTGATGTAGCATATACTCCTTTCAGGCTCATAATGATGCAATTGCAAATGACCAATCTCAGAATGCTTCGCATTTTAGAGATTTTTCACGTTTGTTTTTAAGGTTTTGTGAAAATCCTTAGGTGTCGTGAAAAGAAAATATGTAACAACAACAACAACAACAACATCAAGCCTTTATCCCACTACGTGGGGTCGGCTACATGAATCCTTTGTCTCCATTGTGTCCTATTAAAAGTCAAATTCTCGTTTAAATCTAATAAAGAAAGGTCATTCTTAATATTTTCTAACCAAGTCTTTTTAGGTCTACCCCTACCTTTCTTAACATAAGTCAAATCTAATACCTCTACTCTCCTAACCGGGTCATCGCAAGGCCGCCGTTTTATGTGACCAAACCATCTAAGGCGACTTTCTCTAATCCTATCTTCTACTGGAGCTACTCCAACCTTTTCACGTATATGCTCATTTCGTATCCTATCTCTAAGGGTAAAGCCACTCATCCACCTGAGCATCCTCATCTCTGCCACACTTAACTTAGTATTATGCTTCTCTTTTAAAGGCCGACATTCGGCACCATAAAGCATTGCAGGCCTCACTACCATCTTATAGAATTTTCCCTTAAGTTTGAGGGGTACATTTCTATCACATAACAAGCCCGATGCATTCCTCCACTTCAACCATCCAACTTGAATTCTGCTGATAATATCCCCATCTATTTCACCATCACTCTGAACAATAGATCCAAGATATCTAAAACGTTTGTTTTTAAGGTTTTGTGAAAATCCTTAGGTGTCGTGAAAAGAAAATATGTAAGATAACATAAATACTTTTTCTTTCTCTATCTCATGGTATTTTTAGAGCGGAGGGCTGGCAGCTTATCAATAACACAATTATATAAAATCAAATTTCAGAATTTCAATGTTTTGCCTTGTGCTTCGAGCTATCGCATCACTTCAAAGTAAAAAAAACAGTACACTTATAAAAAATAGTAATAAATAATCCATTATATAAATCAGTGATTGGAGAGATTGTAAATAGAATTACTATGAGAATACAGCTTGGCAGCTAAAAATCAAATGGGATGTGTATTGCTATGCCTATTAAAATGTCCCCAACAGAAAAGCTTATAAGAACTTGAAGTTCTAAGCAAATAACTAGTATAATAGGAAGAAGCACATCACGAAAAGGAAACTAGCAGCAAACATCAAGATGTGTTCTATCAACATTGAAATCTGTGTTAGCACACTAGGAACAATAAAGCATTTGTTATTTGAAAGTGACTTTATCATTAGAAACAAAACTTGAAGGAAAACTATAAATCTTTTTGCTAATCAAAGTGGTAGCTTCAATTCTGACCAGAGCACCTGCTTCTGCGGCTGCAACAAGATGGTAACCAGGGCTGAGACTTTGATCAAAACCTTTTTTGTACCTAGCCTTTGCTCTGCTATAACTACAGAAAGGGATTCAAGAGTTTTCTTAGATTATTCAATCATTGGAAATAAAAAAAATATTTGACTAACAACAGAAATTTGAGGATGAGCACAGTATATAAGGATGGCATACAAAGAAAGAAAGTAGGCACATTTCTATTTGGACCTTTATAAAATATATAAAAAAAAACATCCCAACTTAAAAGGATGAACTTTCATATTCGTGAGAGAAAACATTAAAACATTAAACTAAAAAAATAACAATAAAAATTAAAAACAAACCCCTTCAAAGCATAACAACGCTTTCAAAGTAAATGCAGATATAGTGAGTTATGAATGTATGATAAGGCGTTCAATTTATAATGCATAATCATGGTGAATCTGAACACAGCTTAACAATCATGCATTTATGACTAGCAATATACTCGCATGCAAGTTACCTATAAAAGTTCAAATTGTTCAGATTAACAACCATGTACAAAGCAATTGCAAAATATATAAATCTCATATAACTCTGGGAAACAGTAAAATATTGATGACGATAGGATATGCAAGACAGTGAAGGTAAGGAGAAAACCGCAGCTATTGTAGTAACAGTATGTTTTTAAGCCAGTAAAATTAAAAGATATGACAGTTATACATTTCTAGTAGGAACAAGATGGGTAGAGTTTCTAGTAGAAAATAATGATATTTAGTCAGTGAAAAAGACAAATACCTCAATTTCAAATAAATATCCATAAGAGAATAATATTCCAACTAAATCAATAAATCTCTTCACTTCAAGCTGGTCATTAAAAAGTTTGACAGAGCTCAAACCAGACATATTAAGCACAAACCTACCAAGTATAATCGCTCTTTAAAAATTTATCATAAATGCAACAATGAGGTCGGTAGGGCTGTACATAATATGAATAAAACCAAAAAATCGAACCACGCTGATCTTATTTGGTTGGTTTAACTTGGTTTTTAAATTATTCGTTTGGTCATTCATAGTAATTTAGTTTTTATTTTAGGATTTTGGTTTTTATTTTTGAAAAAATCAATCGAACTAAAATTTGAATTATATTAATTTCTTCAAATATTAAATCAGTAAAACCCATGAACCATTAAGTTTTCTTTTACACACAATGTCAACCTGCAAACAGAAAAGAAAAATGACCCAAATAAAAAATATTAAATTATAAAAGCTAAGAAACAAATTATCATACTCCAAAATTGACAAGAAGTCAAGGGAGAGACCAAACACAGTGCAAATATAACAATAAGGGAAAACAATATAATTAGGACACTTTGGAGCAAGGATAACCAAAAACAATATTACCAATTTTATGCTAGTTGTTATTATGCAAAATCAAATAAATATTTCTTTGTTGTGAAGTAAGTGATTCATCTTGATTTTGCGGAAAAAGTTTAGCATGGCTTACAAGAAGAAGTACAATCCCCATGAAACTGTTGACCCAAAGACTGCAGGATAAAAACCTGCATAAAGCCCTCTCAAACCCTGTAAGAAAAGTCAGCAAGAATGTTGGCAATTTGATACAATTAAGCAATCATAGCACTACAAAAGTTTGAAAGGTGCCACATAAGTGAACTAGGGTTTAGGGTTTACGGTCTACGGTGTTGTATTAATAAAATTCAACAATAGAATCTAATGCCTCCTATGATGTGCTACACTATTAACTAATCGCAGACACAATTTTGACCCAATGAAGCCAATAATTAGATATGCAACACTTTCATCCATGCAAGCATACTCGAGTTCTTTTCCGGCCAAAAATTTGAATCATCATTGTCAGTATAATCAGGATTGTTGATTGATTCCATAGAAGCCCAAAATAGAAAATGCATTCATCGATGCAAATACTCTAGATTTTCTTGCTCTGTTAAAAGCATAAGTATAATTTATCATATAATTGGTATGGTGCGCAATTGATCACCAGTTGAAACAACTGCTTTTTAGAGAAATTCAATTTATTTCTATAACAAATAATGGAAAAGCCCAAATGTAGTCCTGCACGAGTGCCCACAACAGTGGGAAGAATGGGTTAACTCGCCACACAAAATAGGCAGACAGAACAAATTTTCCCTCTGGTCCAGTTAAGATATAAGAACAGATAATTGCTTTTTTTTTTTTTTTGAAACCAATTACATTACATTTTCCTTGGACAACACAAGTCATTGTCTCGCTATCATTCGCTGCATCCACGGAAAAGAATCGCAGAAGGAGAACGGCCATAAAAAGTAAGAAGATAAACTAACCTCCATCCGCGCAATACTGTAAATAGCATGCACTGTATTCTTGTAAAGTGGAAGGCAAGATCCCCCGCGACCATCGCTCACTGCATAGAAATTACCTCGTACTCATAAAAATAAAAGATCGAACTTATTTACGAAATGTGAACATTTCTGTTTTTTTTTTTTTTTTCATTGACAGTTCCCAGTCAAATCCAAGTCAAAAAAACTGAGAAGATATTTTTATCAGCTCATTTTCGTCACTCACACACTCTTAGCCTCACAAGAAACAAAAACTAATTTTTAACCAATAAAAAGATAAGAAAATCACTAATTAACTCCTCAGCCAAACAATTGAGGCAAAACAAGTTTCAATCCAATTCATTAAACATTATAATTATCTCCTTTTTTTTTCTTTTTTTTGAAATTCCGTCAACCCAAACTCAGCCCTACAAACCTCAAGAAGAGCAAAAGAATAAACCTTGAAATCTCGTACGGACGACGTCGAGAGGATGGAGAACCGCGACGGTGGAGAATCCGGCGATAGCTCCGGCGGCGGCGTTCTCCAAATTCCACTTCTCCCGGTCTGACATAGGAACGAGTGAAAAGAGAGACGAAAACAAGGGTTAGAATTACGCGAAAGGAGGGTGAATATTATGTTATTTTAATTGATTAGAAAATAATTCTGACTCTAAAAAATATATTATAATATAATTAAAATTTTTAAATTGTATTTTGAACAATTTCTCATAATTTGATTGCATTATAAAATAGTGAATTTTCTGTACATTAATTTATTATTATGTCCACCATTAAAGTATTTTAGTAAATTTTTAATGATTTTTTTTTTACATTCATGTTACTTTAATACAATGAATCATTTGCTTATCCAATTGAATTTTGTGATTTTGAGGATATCTGTGCCGATGGAGAAAGTTTTATTCTGATGTTAAATGCAAATTCTAGTACTATATGTACATTATATTATGTTGCTTGATATTGTGAGTCATAAGGGTTCAAATTCTTTGAATTGTATTAGTTGGGAGTAGGGGTGCAAATGAGTCAAGATGACTCGCGAGCTGGCTCAAACTCGACTCGTTAACAAGCTTGCGAGTCGAGCTTATCAAGTATCGAGCTCGAGTTCCAGAAGAAATTTCGAGCTCATTATGCTACCAAACTCGAGTTCGATAAAGGTCAAGTCCGGCTCTAGTGCTCATTGAGCTGGCTCCATTAAAATACGGAGTGGAGCGTGGTATAGGCGGACTTGGCGAAAAATGAATAATTGAAGTGCTAAGGCTTAGTAAATAAACATCTATTCGAAGAAATTAAAGTTTGTTTGAAAGTTAAGAGCTATGGAGTGCACCATCCGTCCCATTCGCAAATTGGGGCACCGCTTCATTTCGTCGTCGTCCCATTCGTGAATTATGTCTGTTGAGAGACATAAATGTCATAATTCTATGAATGCTATATGATGCGAGGCACAAAAAGAGCCTGTGGGAGATTTGTTACTTTCTGCTTTAATAGAAGAATTATTTGTTTATTTATTTTTACAGCATTGTTATTGAATTCATGACAACTACAATTACTATTCTGCTATGCTCAATGATCTATTTTATTGATTTTAGCATTCAATTAAATGTAACATAGATGATTCATTAAAAATTTAAATTGGTAAATGTGATGTGCTGAGCTTTATTAGCTCATAGTTTTTCAGCTTTCTACTTCAAGGATTTGGAAATTTGAAAGAGTCTATTAAGTAATAGTTTTCATAATCCAATTTGAGTTTATATAAGGACTTATTTTATGAAATTTTTATACAGTCATAGATAATCATTTAATCTACTCTGTTTTATATTCCAATATGTAGCTATGTACTGTAGTTTAATTATTGCACGTACATTTGATGATAAATGAAAGAAATTTTGTGGATTAATTTATTTTCTGTAAATTGAAAAAAAAAATATTTGTAGTTATGTGATTTGTTGTTTGATTTAAAGTTAAAATTAGACGAAAATTTTGAATTGTTTCTATTATTTTAGATATTGGGATTGATCAGTTGCAAACCAACATGATAGGACCTGACTCATTTATGAGTTTAATGTTTTATTAATTAAGAAATAATTAAAATAATAATATGTATTATTTAATTATTATATTTAGATTTGACAATAAAATAAAATAATTTCATAATATTCAATCATATCAATTATATTTAAATAGATTAATACCATTCAAGTACAAATATTAATAAATAATTTGATATGATTAAACTTTTATTAAATCAATAGATTTAAATCTTAAAATAAATAGTCAAATAATTTATTAAAAGTTAATAATTATTAGATCAAACAAATTTCAGATTTTAATTGATTTAAAATTTACTAAATTCAAATATACAACATTTTACTAAAAACTACTTATAGATAAATAACCCATAGTATCGGATTTACGATAAATCATGCCAAACAATTTTCGAGCGCTTTGTAAATCCCGATTCTCTTTAAATCCCGGATTTACGAATGTATAACGTAAATTCGGGATTTAGTAAATCCCTGTTTAGGTGTATTTAACGGAGTTTACGCTCGCGAGAACTCTTTCCCGCAGCGCTCGTGTTGTGGAGTGGTTGCAAACGCTCTTATTTGCTGCAACGAATGGTAAGCATGCCTCTCTTTTTGTTGTCTTAGCTTCTTCGATTTTTCTTCCTCTGCGATCATTGAGCTTCTTCCACTGCGATTCGTCTTCCTCTGCGATTCAAGGTGAATCTATAAGACACAACATCACCATTGATTTATGAAATGTTTGGATAATAATTTTGATTTACGTAGAAAATATTTCAATATACATTGCATTTTGTAATAATTTTATGAATTTCTGATTTCAAATAGCTAGCCATAACGACGTCGTCGGAATTTATCTCACATGCAAGATATATCAAATCTCCTTGTATATTGAATCTTATTCTTAATTAGTAGTTCATTTGTGTCATGACCAATATTAACTTCTCATGTGCTCTTTATTTATTTTTCAGTTATATTGTATGAACTGAATTTGAACTTATTATATTGTATGCACTTATCTTGAATTTATAAATATCTTTTTAATATAATTCAACACTGCTTCTTCACATTTAAACTCTTAATTATCATAAATCTTAAAATATGTTATCAAATAATTTCTCAAAATTTAATATTCATAATTACCAAATAATTTTTAGAATTTAAAACAATCAGAATCTACTAAATTTAAAGTTACAGTATTATTAAAATCGCACAAAGCTATTTGTTCACAAACAGTCCCTAAAATTTCTTTCGATTACCGCTCCTCAAACCATTCCGGCGGCATCACTCAGTTGCAACGGCGGCGATTTCTTTTTGCATCCCCAAAATATTTTGTCAAAACTGCCTCCGGCGACCTCCTCCGGCGACCTCCTCCGGCGAACCTTTCAATTGGACCCATTCGGTCTGCTGGCAAGCTACTCTTTCTCGCGAATTACTTCGATCCCTCAGCTCTTATCTTCCGGCGATGATAACTCCGCAGCTCGATTGTAAGACAGTGCGGAGCTGTGATAGTTTAATCGCCGGTTATCTTTTAGACAATCGAAGAAAAAGTTGGCAAGTACAAAGACTTGAGAAGGGAAGAAGGCTTGCTCGTTGGAGGACATGAATCCTTGAAAAGTTAACAGGTGTGATCTTGCGGAACTACAAGACCTCCTAATCAATGTGGCGCTCTTTTGGAGATGGTTCTCGTGTCACTCTATCTATTCGGTCTGTCTCCTCCCGTCAATGGATCCATGCTGCCGGAACCTTGCCCCGAAGGAGCTCTGATCTACTGCCGGTACTGACCAAATCGGAACGGGTCGATCGGATTTGCAGAATCCTTACCCTTGAGCGCTTTGAGGCCATTCCGAAGCTTCCCTTTGATTTATCCGAAGAAATCTTTGAAGCGGTACTGGCGAGGCTCCGGCTCAATCCCATTGCCTGCTTAGGGTTTTTCAGGATTTCCTTGAAGCAGCCCCACTTCACGCCGAACGCGAAATCTTATTGTCAAATAGTCCACATCTTAGTCCAAGGGAGGATGTTTGATGACGCAAGGGCGTGCTTGAATGATTTGTTACAGAATTCTGCCTCTGCCTGCTCTGTTTCCTTTTTATTTAATGAGATGCTTCAGGTTTATAAGGAATTCACCTTCTCCTTGAAGACATTTGATATCCTTCTCAAGCAGTATGCAAAGAATGGACTGGTCAAAGAGGCTTTTTTCACGTTTGATAATATGGGAATGCATGGATGGAAACCTAGCGTGAGGTCCTGCAATACTATTCTCAGTGGTCTGGTTAAAGCTGGAGAACATCAGAGAGCAATTCTTACCTATGAGCAGATGACCCGAGCTGGGATAATGCCAGATGTTTTCACAGTTTCTATATTGGCTAATGCTTTCTGTAAGGATGGAAAAATACAAGAAGCGGTAGAATTCTTGACTTCAATGAAAAACAAGGGTTTTGAAGTGAATCTGGTGGCTCTTCATTCTCTGATGGATGGTTACTGCAGACTTGGGCAGACAGAACAGGCCATTGGGGTTCTAAGGTCAATGACAAGAGAGGGCATTACACCGAACGTTGTGACTTATACTTTATTAATCAAGGGATATTGCAAAGAGGGCAAGGTAGATGAGGCGGAGAAAGTCCTTAAGAACATGAAAGATGTTTTGGGCTTAAAACCTGACGAGGCAGTTTATGGTGTTCTTATAGATACTTTTTGCCGATTGGGGAAAATTGAAGATGCCATTAGAATGAAGGGTGAAATGTTGTCTTCCGGACTAAAGGGAAACACTTTTGTCTACAATTCAATGATTTATGGTTATTGTAAGATTGGAAGGATAAAAGAAGCTGAGCTATTGGTAGGTGAGATGGAAATTGCAGATCCCAAACCAGATTCATATAGTTATAATACTCTAATGGATGGGTATTGCACCTCTGGTCAGATGGATAAGGCATTTGAAATTTGTAATCTGATGGCCCGTAAGAGTATTGAGGTAACTGTTCTAACTTACAATACTCTCCTAAAAGGTTTTTGTTGCATTGATGCCATTCATGATGCTTTGCATTTGTGGTTTTTGATGTTGAAAAGGGGAGTGACCCCTAACGAGATTAGCTTCAGCATTCTATTGAATGGATTTTTCAAAACTGGGAATTTTGAAAATGCTTTGAAACTTTGGAATGACATGTTGTCCAGGGGATATGCGAAGAATCAAATCACTTTCAACATAGTTATCAATGGATTGTGTAAACTTGGTAGAGTGGAAGATGCAGAGGAGATCATTCGAAAGATGAAGGATTTGGGATGCTTGCCTGATAGCTTTACTTACAGAATTCTAATTGATGGTTTATGTAAGATCGGTGATATTGAGAAAGCCTTTAAAATTAAGGACTTGATGCAAAAGTTGGGATTTCTTCCTTCAATAGAAATGTTTAATTCTCTTCTTTCTGGGCTTTTCAAATCAAATATGCCTGACAGAGTTAATGAACTTGTGGCTGAAATGCTTACAAAAGAATTGACTCCCAATGTTGTGACCTATGGAGCTTTAATATCTGGTTGGTCTGACAAAGGAATGATAAACAAAGCTTTTGATTGTTATTTTGAAATGATTAGGAAGGGTCTGACACCAAATTTGTTGATTTGTAGCACACTTGTAAGTTGCTTGTACAGGCAAGATAAAATCAATGAGGGCAATGCATTGCTGCAGAAACTTGTAGATTTCAACATACCCACAAAATATGATTTTTTTCAGAGGTCTTATAATCTTGATTCGAATAATCTTTCTGTGAATGAAAATACAGATTACTTTCATGAGGTTTCAAATAACATTGAACCTAATCACGTCATGTGCAATGTCGCTATTGCTGGAATTTGCAAGTCGGGTGGGGTAGAAGATGCAAAAAGTTTCATCTCCTTCTTGTCTAATAGAGGCTTCTTGCCCAATAAATTTACTTATTCCAGCTTAATTCATGGATATTCATCACGTGGCAATGTAAATGATGCTTTTTTACTGCGTGATGAGATGCTAAAAAAAGGTTTCCTTCCTTGCATTGTGACATATAATGCACTCATCAATGGCTTGTGTAAGTCTGGCAATTTGGAGAGAGCTGTGAGGCTCTTTAATAAGCTTCCTGAAAAGGGTTTAGATCCTAATGCTATTACATTTAACACAATGATTGATGGGTACTGCAGGGCCGGTGACCTTACAAAGGCCTTTAAATTTAAACAAAAAATGGTTGAGCAAGGAATTTGTCCCAATGTTATTACATATTCAACCCTTATAAATGGTCTCTGCAAACAAGGCGATATGGAAACATCAATCAAGCTTCTGAATCAAATGATTGAGAGTGGTGTTGATCCAAACTTTGTGACGTATTGTACATTAGTTTATGGCTATAAAAGATCTGGGGATTTAAGTCAGGTTTCAAAGCTTTATGAAGAAATGCATTTTCGTGGTCTTTTTCCAACTTTTAATTGCAAAGGAACTTTGGATTCTGCAGGACCTGTACAGCGCACAAAAATTAACGTAAATTGTTTTAAAGTCTCGGAATTCGCTTTATGAACCATGCTTTTGTTTGAAGTTTGAATGGAGTATTCATGCTTGAGGTTGACATCCTCAACTGTTGTCTTGGAACTGCAAAATCTCTCAGGTTGGGATCAGTAGAGGGACATTGGAAAGTGGTCACTTTGAGCATACATGTACTATATTGCCTGAAAGGTGAAAAGAAAGCAGTTTCAGATTGTTGTGGCGCTTAAGATCTCAATCCAAGTTGATGAATGTATCCAGGTATCTAATTATTTCAGTTAATCTTATATTAGGCAGTACTTAACTACTTATTGCATTGCTACATGTTTTAAAATTTTGATTAGGAGCGTCAGCTACATGGAGTTCAGAATGGTTTAGGTCCGATTTGAAATTTCCACTTACCGTTTTCTTGAAATTCATTACTGATATCTACTGCATAATTCAAGATATATTGACTAAGTGAACGCATGAATCATAGCAGGAGCCCTAACAGTATGATCAGATTTGGGGCAAGTAACTGGGATATTTTTTGATGCCTCATGATATAAGTCACATAGGAATTTTTGTCCATGTAACTGCGAAGAGTATTCTATTGCCCTTCGTGGTGATCAACCACTCTCATGCAAGACATCCTGCAGAAAGAACCATGGTTAAGTTAATAAATATCTTAATCCCAACCTTAGGAGAGTTTGCAACATGAAAATGTACAAGGAATTTGATCGATAAGGAAAACATAAATGTACATAAGTTGTCCAATTTTGGTAAGGAATTGTGTGCTTAGTTTTGTTTGGTAATCATTGTTGTTTTTTTTGTTATCAGAGATGTCAAAATAAGTTTTCAGGTCAGGTTCAGATCATTGGAGAAACATCACCGTAAGATGTTGTGGCAGAAGCTCGTTGGAGAAGGAAACTACGAGATAAGTGTGATGAGGACATCAGAGCTGTGAAAGTCTATCAGAGGCGTGACCGCCAATCAAAGGCCACGATCGTGCCGATGTATTTTTAAGTTGTCATATGTATTTGTCTTTTAATTATTTATGTTTGTATTTGCTTTAATTGTTTTCCCTTTTTACTCCTTAAGGATGGTCATGTGTAAGATTAAAGGGCATCATCGTCTTTTATTTTTGAGTCCTTTGTATGAGGCTATATGTAACCCTAATGTTCTCTTTTCATGGGTAATGAATGAATGATCAAATTTTCTGCATTGTGAGTTCTTGCGAGAGCTTGAGAGAGTTGAGAGAGAAATCCCTTGGAGAGGGAATCGTATCATCCGCCAGCTTTGGAAGAGTCCGGGCTCGTGGCTAGTTCTACTTATCTCGTCTTCCTCCCTTTCTCCACCCAACCGCCGTCCCACCTCCCACTTCAAGCCACCGCCCCAGTTTGCATGTTCTATGTTCATTGTTCCACATTTTAAACTGATTCTTTTTTCTAAGTTGATATTGTTTCAACTTGTTTATGCTAGATTTTCTTGTGCTGATGCGATACCTCTGTTGTAGGAAACTACAACAGAGTCTGGTTATTCCGTCTGTGCTGTGTCAAAATGATGGTTTGTGGTATTATTGCCTTTCAATTCATATTTTTTTCTTAAGTGCTTTTATATTATGTTTTTTTTTAATATTGTTATTGCGGTTTTCTTTGGTTAGAAAATATTAGAAATGATCTTTCTTTATTCAATTTAAACTAGAATTTGACTTTTAACAGGGCACAATGGAGAAAAATGATTCATGTAGCCGACCTCACGCAGTGGGACAAAGGTTTGATGTTGTTGTTGTTGTTGTGGTGGTGGTTACAGTTTCCTCAAACTTTATAGCTGTGATTGCTGTTAATCTTGATGGAACATAGTGCAAGGAAAAGTGAATGAAAATCGTCGCTTCCCACTATTGGACTTGTCAGCAGGAGAGATTACTTCTGAGATTCTGATTGAAGGCAATTTGCCTATTTGTTTGCCGCTAATTTTGTGGAAAATAAATGAGTTTGTTGAAGTTAATCCACTTTGCAGCTACTCATAGAAAATGAGCCTAAGAAGCAAATGTGGCCAAAGGCAGAATCCAAATGGGCTTCAATAATCACTATGTTGAAGCTTCTTTATGACCTCTAAACAGCAAAACTGTCTTCACTTTCACCATTTTCTACATTGAGATCCCACTTACAGCCAAGTAATATTCATCTTATTGAATCAGGCATTGGCTTAGGCTTCGTTTGGGACAACTTTCGTACTGCTTTCTAAAATTGCTTTCTAGTGCAAAATTTTCAAATTCAAGAAATTTTTGTACTAGAAAGCTGTTTTACAAAGCAAGAAGAAAGTCGTCTCAAATGGAGCCTCAATCTCACTTATCAAGAATAATCAGGTAGTCACACAGTGCCAAAAAGGTCTCAAGTAATACAAAACCAAAGACTACTGTTTCTGTTCTAGATAATCTCTCTCACATTTATAGCCTAAACAAATTATCTCTTCATTGTGCAGGTCAATTATATCTTTGCCATATACTCGAGGACTATCAGGCATTATTAGATGTTCTTCAAGAACTTCCCCTGTCAAATGATATTTTTGGCCCCTTACCTGTCAAAGTTGCTTCCTGACCTCCGCATAGCCAACCAGCTCAACAGCCTGCTTTTCCACTATTTTCTACGTGGGACTTCTACTTTCAGGTATGCACCTTATTGCCAAAAGGTTGGAACCTTACCTTAGGGCATCTCCAACCGAAAATCCCATTTTTAACTCCAAAATGCAGTGAAACTAAAAAATGTTGTGATTCATCTCCAATCAAACTCCATTTTATTCCCTTATGCTAATCTAATTGTCTTTCTCCTCTTTCGCGAGAGATAGAAAAATAGCGTAGGTGAACAGTGCAACGCCAATATTGGCATCACACTGTTCACCCGCAACCAACTAGCGGAAGTTTTGCCGTTCGACTGGAGCTCTAGAGCGACGCCATTCATGCGTTTAGAGTTCGGTTGGAGAAGCCTTAGTCTTCATTTGTTAAAGAAGAAACATATAATTATTCATGCAGAGCAGAAAGGTTCTTAGGCACTGCAAAACCTAGATTGAGCCTTCAGTTCATTAGATGACGTTTTCTTTAGTCTAACTAAATCTACACTCTGCAAGTCATATAATCTTGTTGTCATATATGCCAAGGACCATAAGCCATGATAGTATGATACTACACTATTTATTATGTGCTTCATGTTCGTCTTCTTATGATTAAATTGAATAACCAAAACTGGCTTTTGATTCTTAAAGTTGAACTATATTTCTTAAAAATTTTCTACTTGTATTAATATTTTCTTCGCATACCTCCTGTGTCTTTTATTTTGAAAAAAATCTGGGCCATCACTTCTCTCAAGAAAAAATTAATAGTAAAGATTCCAAGTTAACCAGTTGAGGGTTTTAAACACAATTGAAAGTATTATGCTTGTTAGCCATTTGTCCTTTCAAAAGCTAGTTAAGCTGCCATTTTTGACCTTCCAAGTAGTGTTCTGTAAGAAGGGATGATTGATTTTTCTAATCCTTTGATGAAGCAGAACAATTTAGGGATAATTTCCTCCAAATCTCTATAGGCTTAATGGCTTTAAAATACTTTTCCCTAGCCTGTTTCAAGTGAAAGAAGATTTGACATTGCTGATAGTTTTTCAAACCCATTTAGCTAACTTAGATATGTTAAAGATCTAAGATTGATCACATCATGACCACCAGAGACTGTAGCACCGCAACACTAGTATATAGCACCACAGTGTTGTACGACTGTATGATATTTTTTTTTTGGGACAAGGCCTCTGAACCTAAGCAGGAGGAGGCCCCCCTGCAACCCCTTCACAAGCTCAACTGACGAAATTGAGTTCTGAGCAGTAGTACAACCTGATTGATCGACACAATTAGATTCAACATAGAACTAAAACAATACCCATTCTTTTTAAATATTTCAATTCGATTAAGTGGTGAAATAATCAATTGATTTCTCAACTTGGACTTTCAGGAGGCATGCTTTCTCCACTCCATTTGAAATTAATCTTAAAGTTTTTTCATGAATTAGAGAATATAGATTTGAATCATGTAATGCAAACTTACTGTTTTCAAACCCAAAAAAGAGAGTTGATTAAAGGAGTCAAATTAAAGAGGATTTTACAAAGCGGCTTTTGACCACAACTCTGAAAAAAACATTCTCAACGCCAGAAGAAATGAAAAAAAAACATCCAAGTTTAGCAAATGCTCGTTCTCTCCATTGTTAGGCCAACCGCATCCGGGTTCACGGGTCGGGTTCGTTTCAACCCATTTAGACTCATGTCAACTTCTAGTACGACCCGAACATGACCTGAAACCCCATTTTGACACCCCTATTTTTTAGTATAGTTTTTTTTTAATTAAACTTTTTTATATTAAAAAATCACTTTATAAAGCTATTAGAAAGTTATCCCAAGCAAAACCTGAAAGTTACATGGCTTAAATTTACAACACCATATTTAAGAATATTTAAGCTAATTTCTTAACCTCATGATGGACTTTATAATTGATCTATTACATGCTACATTAGTTGTGGATGCTGCCTCTACTCTAAAGCTTGATGCTTAGGGTTTCACTCTAAATCATCATCAACATCCAGTCTAAAAGTTACAAGGCTATCTTTTGTCACTTAGCAACTCTTAAAATTTTAAAATTCTTGTCAACTTTTCAAATCCAATTGCTTAGCTTTCAAAGGATCAAATCTGTCTATAATAGCTGCTTAACCCATATTTTTTATTATTATTCAAGGTTAGGGTTAATCCCTAACCAAAAGATTAGCCATACCTACATCATGTATTATTTGCCTGTGCTGGTTAATGCAGTTACTATTTTCCTAACATTTGCGCTAAAAATTCCTAAGTTTGCAAATTTTCTGAGGGGGTTGTTGTTGCTTAAGAAGTTCTACCAAAAAATATCCTTATGGTGCTTCAATAGCAATCCCACCACCCATTATAAGCTCATTTACAGAAGAAATTACTCTGTGCGGCCACCGAACGGTCCAGAGGTGAATTAAGATGCGTCATGTCACTTGGCATCGAGCGGTGCACAAAAAAAATGATGTGACATATTCTGATTCGCCTCTGAACGCCATTTGATGACAGCACAGAATAATTTCACCATTTGCAAGCATCACTGCTTCTTTACCGGACATAAATTTTTTTAGAAGGTTTAAGGGTCAATTTTCATGTTAGATAATAGTTGTTAGGGTTGGAAGGTGGGGCCCTTAAAAATTGAGTTATTTCACTTAAAATATTTTATTAATTTTATTTTATTTTTGAGCTTGCTTTTCTTAATTAATAGAGGGATGCCATCTATATGTTAAATGTAAAAAATCTATGCTAAAAAGCTCTACAATAAAATATATTGGTTGTGTATTTTATTCATTGACCTTTGTCTTTTTAGTTCCTATTCTCTTAGCTATAAATTTTGTCAAATTAAAGTTTATTTTAATTTGTCATTTGAGATCATTTTTTTTAATAGTTTAATATAAAATAAATTTATTTGATATCTTAAAATTTTATTTATTTTATTAAATATCAAATAAATTAATTCATGTGATAGCAATAACAATCATATATTGGAAAATAATGACAACCGACGAAGCAATAAGACAACATCGATCGCCCATTTAAATAGAAGAAGACCAATGATACATATATATATATATATCAAGAACACTCAAAATATTTTATATTAAGAAAAAATTTATTTGTTAAAAAAAATTAAAAATATACCCAACAAACATTTACCAATATTATTTTATTTTATTTTATTTATATTTGAATATAAATAAAATTTATTTGATAGCTAAAAAATATATTTTTTATTACATTATAAAATAAATTAATTTATGTAATGATAAAAAAAAATATTTTTTTCAGCTTTCTAAAACAGCTTTGCTTTAAAGAACGGTAAGAGAGCTGTCCCAAAGAAGCCTGAAACAACTAAAATAGGCATACTCCTTCCTACACCTGAAGCTAACATCATAAGTAGCTCATCCCTTTACTGTAGCCAAACTTTGCTTGAAATGGAATATGTACAACAATTCTAAAGAAAACAAAAAATCATGCTCAAGGTTAATTTTACATAAATTTGAAAAAAAAAAAAAATCTTTGTTCTCAGTCAATCCTCAAAAATGGTGTTAAAATTAAAAAAAAAAAAAAAAGTTTATCAAGAGGAGCAGAACCATAACCCAAGCATGCCTTAGTAAAACATTATTTTCCTTGTTTGGGCTGATCTGTTCCATGAAATTTTCTCCCAGCTTCAACGGCTTCCCTGTTGATCCAAGTAAAAAGAAGAGGTAAGGAACCAGAAGAGTGCAAATTTTAACAAATATACAGACTAACAGAGGGGAGGGAAAAATAATTTGTGAGAGCAGCAGCAGCAGAGGAAATTTTAAGAAATATTAAAGAGATTAGTGAACTGAGAGATGAAGGAGAACAATAATGTGGTGAAGCACTTATTTCTGTGATAGAGCAGCAAGATAATAGAAAAACAATGAACGCGAAGATTAGTTGGTGTCTTTTCTAATCTTTCCTTGGCTTCTGGAAAGAGTCCTAGGCTTCGTTTGGAATAGTTTTCTTATTGCTTTTATTTAGAATTGCAAACATAATTTCTGCTTGGTCAATGTTTTTTTTGTTGTTTTTAAAAGATTTTTACACTAAAAAGTTGCCTCTATAATAACTTTAAAAAGTTACTTTCTCTATGACAACTTTACAAAGCAATAAGAAAGCTGTCCCAAATGAAGTTCTAGGCTTCGTTTGGGACGGTTTTCTTAGTACTTCTTAAAAATTAAGCAGCAGTAAAAAAACTGTCCCAAACAAAATCCTAATAAGTAGTAGAATTGCAATTATTTTAAAGTGAAATAAAATTTATTTTTTCTGAAGGGTCTTATTGAATATTTTGATTTCATTGTACAAGTACTTGGAATGATTTTCATCTGTGCTAGGGGGAGTTCTACTAATTTCCACATACAGTTTCATAAAATTATCATATAGATTGAAATCACCTGAAAGCCTCAACAAGCTCCTTGTTTTCAGGATCAAGCTTGACACCCTCGTAGAATGCATTAGCTGCTTCGTCAAACCTCTGTAATAGAACATCAGAGTAATCAATAACTGAGGGGAAAACTATTGAAGGTAAGAAAAAAATTAGCATACTTGCAGTAAACGAAGGGCCGCTCCTTCCCTGTAGCATGCTTTAGGCCAGTTTGGATTAAGAGATCTGCAAGCCTTTGCATCAGCTAAAGCCTGCTCAGCTTGACCCAGCCGAATCCAGCAAAGGCTTCTATTAGATAGCAAAGTTGGTTCATCGGGATTCAAGTCAATTGCCTATGCATTTAGCCACCAAACAAACAAACAAAAAAATCAGTAAAATCTTCTGAGTAAGTCAAAATTTTTCAATCATCTACTGAATATTGGAAGGAAATATATCACAATCCAATGTGCTGTAACTGAATTTTTTGGATTTGATAACACAATTCAAGGAATTCACAAGCTGGTTAAGGCTTCATTTGGGACGACTTTTTTCCTGCTTTTTGAAGTAATTTTTTAGTATAAAAATTAAAAATTTTTAAATAGAAAGCTGCTTCAAGACGAAGCCTAAATTTCAATTTAGTCAGATTTTTCATATTTTTAACGAGATGTTTTGACAAGGCATTAATGGGAGATGAAAACACGTATGTCGCCATAAAGAACAAGGATTGCCCGTAAATGATAAGGAAAGGACTCCCAACAATTTCAAGCATTACAGAAAAAGCGAGTAACCTTAATTTCTTTTAAGATAATCAATGTAGCTACTCGTTAACATTTCAAAATTGAAAGTGCATGATGAAGCTCAAATCATTTGTATTGATTGGAACTCAAATGTGGCACGTCATAAGAGACTAACATTGTATAAATATAATTTTTTTGGAAATCAAAAGGTAATGGCGTTTTGAGTTTTAGCCTTTTAGATCATCCAGAGTCCTTTTCACAGCTTATACTCCCATTTAGCTTGCTGTTACTTGGGTATCATTTCTGCCTTCTTTACTAAGCCGAATTAAGAACAGTATCAAATGTACCTAGTCAAACAGAGTGTCATTCTAGCATATGATTGTTGCATGCTGGAATGCTCGCAGCGGTAGAGAGATAAAGTTTAACGTCCTAGCTTTGTATGGAGATCCATAACTCATCCAAATAGGGGTGCAAGAATCATCAGAGACATCAAATTTTCTACGTGGAAAATCCAGGAAAGGGGAAAACCAGGGGGCCTGACTCAGAAGAATTCAATGGCATGCAAGCTGTTTCAAGAGATTGTTGACCTATTTGTTTGGTTGGAAGGACTGTAGTAGGGCAATGGTGATTGGAGGAACCATAGTCGAACGACGGAGGTTGAAGAGGCCATAGTACATCAGAGGTCGATGGTGCCATAATAGAGCGTCGGTGATTGAAAGGACCGTAGTCATCTGGCAATGGTGATCGGAAACAAGGTTTAGAATTGCGTAACTGCGCCTCGAGGCGGTTTTCGTCCATGAGGCGAGGCGTAAGTCTCGAGGCGGTCTGAGGCGTAAGCCTCACGAACACAGAATTGCGTAAATGAAAAATTAAGGGTTTTAGCAGGAAAATAATAGCAGTAGTGGAAAATTAGAATGTATATGCAATAAAATCATGTCCCAAAGTACAAAATCACAAAATATTAGTTTAACAAAA